GGTGGTGGTAGTGGTGGTGGTGGTAGTGGTGGTGGTGGTGGCAGTGGTGGTGGTAGGAGTGGTGGTAGTGGTGGTGGTAGTGGTGGTGGTAGTGGTGGTGGTAGTGGTGGTAGTGGTGGTAGTGGTGGTGGTAGTGGTAGTGGTGGTAGTGGTGGTAGTGGTGGTGGTGGTAGTGGTGGTAGTGGTGGTGGTGGTAGTGGTGGTGGTTGTGGTGGTGGTAGTGGTGGTAGTGGTGGTGGTAGTAGTGGTGGTAGTGGTGGTGGTAGTGGTGGTGGTAGTGGTGGTGGTAGTGGTGGTAGTAGTGGTGGTGGTGGTGGTAGTGGTGGTAGTGGTGGTGGTAGTGGTGGTGGTAGTGGTGGTGGTAGTGGTAGTAATGGTGGTGGTAGTAGTGGTAGTGGTGGTAGTGGTGGTAGTGGTGGTAGTGGTGGTGGTAGTGGTGGTGGTAGTAGTGGTAGTAGTGGTGGTAGTGGTGGTAGTGGTGGTGGTAGTAGTGGTGGTGTTGGTAGTAGTGGTGGTAGTGGTGGTGGTAGTAGTAGTAGTGGTGGTAGTGGTGGTGGTGGTAGTAGTAGTGGTGGTAGTGGTGGTGGTAGTGGTGGTGGTGGTAGTGGTGGTGGTAGTGGTGGTAGTGGTGGTGGTAGTGGTGGTAGTGGTGGTAGTGGTGCTAGTGGTGGTGGTAGTGGTGGTGGTAGTGGTGGTAGTGGTGGTGGTAGTAGTAGTAGTGGTGGTAGTAGCGGTAGTGGTAGTGGTGGTAGTGGTTGTGGTGGTAGTGGTGGTGGTAGTGGTGGTAGTAGTGGTAGTAGTGGTGGTGGTAGTAGTAGTTGTAGTATTAGTAGTAGCGGGTAGTGGTAGTGGTGGTGGTAGTGGTAGTAGTAGGTAGTGGTAGTAGTCACAGGTAGTGGTGGTGGTGGTGGTACTCACAACTCTGCTTAGTAGTATTAGTAGTAGGTAGTGGTAGTGGTAGTAATAGTAGTGGTAGTAGTAGTTATATTAGTAATAGTATTAGTAGGAGCGGGTAGTGGTGGTGGTAGTAGTGGTAGTAATAGTAGTAATAGTAGTGGTAGTAGTAGTTATAGTAGTAATAGTAGTAATAGTATTAGTAGTAGCGGGTAGTGGTGGTGGTAGTAGTGTAGTAGTGGTAGTAATAGTAGTGGTAGTAGTAATAGTAGTAATAGTATCAGTAGTAACGGGTAGTGGTGGTGGTACTCACAACTCTGCTTTGTAGTATTAGTAGTAGGTAGTGGTAGTAGTAGTAATAGTAGTATTAGTAGTAGCGGGTAGTGGTGGTGGTAGTAGTGGTAGTAATAGTAGTAATAGTAGTGGTAGTAGTAGTAATAGTAGTAATATTATTAGTAGTAGCAGGTAGTGGTGGTGGTGGTGGTAGTAGTGTAGTAGTGGTAGTAATAGTAGTGGTAGTAGTAATAGTAGTAATAGTATTAGTAGTAGCGGGTAGTGGTGGTGGTGGTAGTAGTAGTAATAGTAGTGGTAGTTATAGTAGTAATAGTAGTAATAGTATTAGTAGTAGTGGGTAGTGGTGGTAGTGGTGGTGGTGGTAGTAGTAGTTATAGTAGTAATAGTATTAATAGTAGTAGTAACGGGTAGTGGTGGTAGTAGTAGTAGTGGTAATAGTAGTGGTAGTAGTAGTAATAGTATTAGTAGTAGCGAGTAGTGGTGGTAGTAATAGTAGTAATAGTAGTGGTAGTATTAGTAATAGTAGTAATAGTATTAGTAGTAGCGGGTAGTGGTGGTGGTGGTAGTAGTAGTTATAGTAGTAATAGTATTAGTAGTAGCGGGTAGTGGTGGTAGTGGTGGTGTTAGTGGTGGTAGTAGTAGTAATAGTAGTAATAGTATTAGTAGTAACGGGTAGTGGTGGTGGTGGTGCTCACAACTCTGCTTTGTGGTATTAGTAGTAGTAGTAATAGTATTAGTAGTAGTGGTAGTAATAGTAGTAATAGTAGTGGTAGTAGTAGTTATAGTAGTAATAGTATTAGTAGTAGCGGGTAGTGGTGGTATTAGTGTAGTAGTGGTAGTAATATGAGTAATAGTAGTGGTAGTAGTAGTAATAGTATTAGTAGTAGCGGGTAGTAGTGGTGGTGGTGGTAGTAGTGGTAGTAATAGTAGTAATAGTAGTGGTAGTAGTAGTAATAGTATTAGTAGTAGCGGGTAGTGGTGGTGGTGCTCACAACTCTGCTTTGTAGTATAAGTAGTAGGTAGTGGTAGTAATAGTAGTAATAGTATTAGTAGTAGCGGGTAGTGGTGGTGGTGTTATTGGTGTTAGTGGTGGTGGTGGTAGTGGTGGTGTTAGTGTAGTAGTGGTGGTGGTAGTGGTGGTCGTAGTGGTGGTAGTAGTGGTAGTAATAGTAGTAATAGTAGTGGTAGTAGTAGTTATAGTAGTAATAGTATTAGTAGTAGCGGGTGGTGGTGGTGCTCACAACTCTGCTTTGTAGTATTAGTAGTAGGTAGTGGTAGTAGTAGTAATAGTATTAGTAGTAGCGGTGGTGGTAGTAGTGTAGTAGTGGTAGTAATAGTAGTAATAGTAGTGGTAGTAGTAGTAGTAATAGTAGTAGGTAGTAGTAATAGTAGTAGTAGTGGTAGTAATAGTAGTAGTTATAGTAGTAATAGTATTAGTAGTAGCGGGTGGTGGTCGTAGTGGTGGTGGTAGTGGTAGTGGTGGTAGTAGTAGCAGTAATAGTAGTAGCGGGTAGTGGTGGTGGTAGTGGTGTTAGTGGTGGTGTTAGTGGTGGTAGTGGTGGTAGTAGTGGTGGTGGTAGTAGTGGTAGTAGTAGTAATAGTAGTAGTAGCGGGTAGTGGTGGTGGTGCTCACAACTCTGCTTTGTAGTATTAGTAGTGGTAGTAGTAATAGTAGTAGTGGTAGTAGTAGTAATAGTAGTAATAGTATAAGTAGTAGCGGGTAGTGGTAGTGGTGGTGGTAGTGGTGGTGTTAGTGTAGTAGTGGTGGTGGTAGTGGTGGTGGTAGTGGTGGTGTTAGTGGTGGTAGTAATAGTAGTAATAGTAGTAGTGATAGTAGTAATAGTATTAGTAGTAGCGGGTAGTGGTGGTAGTGGTGGTGTTAGTGGTGGTAGTAATAGTAGTAATAGTAGTGGTAGTGATAGTAGTAATAGTATAAGTAGTA